CTAATTTCTATTAGCTACTATTGTTTAGAGTGCTCAAAATGGATCTGTTTCATTACAGAGAACTGTTTTCTTAATTTTAGATAATTAGAATATTGTTGTAACATACATGCACGCGATTGTTACAATAAAATACGATTTTCATTGTTTAAAAATTATAATAGGGTTATGTTTCCATTATAGTGTTGTTTAGTTTTGAATTATCCACGGATTATAAACAGATTTTGAACAACCTAACCCAAAGTTTTGGCCGCGAGGCAGCAATTTCCTTGCGTTAGTAACTTCTAGTATTAGGTCTAAAGCCTGTTTTCCACTAAGCGGAATTTTGCGCACGGAGCGGAAATTTTTTTTGTCCTGTGATTTCTCGGGTGGAACTAATTAGAAAGGACAAAGAAAAATTCCGCTCCGCGCGCAAAATTCTGCCAAGTGGTAGTAAACCTAATAAAACACAGCCTAGTCCCAGTCGTTCTGAAGCAAGCGCGAGAAAAAAGCGGTGGATGTAGTACGAGACTGGGACCTAGGTGTGACGTCACCGCTCAAGGTGCTTCAGAACGCCTAGCAGATTTCAGTATTTTTAATATGGCGGAAAATTTATATATACAAGTAACCTTTTAATTATAAATACGACAATGTTCGTTCATCATGTACATGTTCGATGTCTACATAACCAAACCAAACTGTATTAAAAATGTGCTCAACTAAAAAAAATTATATACAAATTTACGATACCGAGTTTGAGCAATCGTTAATGTTATTTATGTACTCGCAAGTTGTGATCAACACTAGACCATACTGGTATACACAACTACGCTTTCTACTTGACAGGTTTAAATTGCTGAGGAGATCGGGAAATATTTGCCTGAAATGACGGTGTTGTCAAAACATTCTTAGTCGGAGACTCGGCATAATTTTCAAGCTTCTAGATAGCATTTAATATGGCTAAATATTTTAGTAAACACGAGTCATATTTAGCCCGTTATTCCATTCTGACCGTATGGCCGCGAAACGTAGCCTACTTCATTGTTCCGACAGCATTAGAGCAAAATTAATGCCTTAATTATAAATGCAAAGGAAATTTCCATAACATTTTCCATTTACAAATGAGGTATGCTTGGTAACCAGGCCAGGGCCACTTTTTTGAAATCAGGGACCATTTTACCGAAATCTGCTAGGCTCTCTCGCTGAAGCGTTCCGCACAGCACAGCCTGGCACAAAACTTTTAAGACTTATTTAAATATATCAAATCAGCGAATAGAGAGAGAGCCTGGGACTAGGCTGAATAAAACACTCCTGCTCGTTTATTAAACAGTACTTAATCAATGCATGCTTGTAAATAGTCGCATAAAAAATTGTCCTGATTTACACAAACTTCAGCTTTGATTTTCTCGGCTTAGATAATGTTTATTTCTAAAATTATTTCGCCAATGAGCTCATAAGATGGGTCGTTTTATAAGCACGATAAAACATTCGTATCCGATCTTTATCTGATATACAAACTCTTGCCTTTGGCTCGAGTTTATATATCAGATAAAGATCGGCTGCATGCTCATATTTTATCTAGTACATATCATATAGCTTTTAAATTAAAATTGGAAAGCAATTAGGTTTTAAAATCATCAATTACAATATTATTTAATTATCAGTGTAATTTAGGTAGGCCTGCGTGCATGCATGCAAGTTGCATGGCCACGGCCTACACCGAAAATCTTATAGAAATCTATTTTTTCATGTTATAGATAACTAAACAGCTGAATACATATTTTGTTCAAATGAAGAAAAATCTGGCTGAACTCAAATCACAGTTGGGAAATGTGAACAAGATTGTCAGTGATCATATCAATAGGAAAGGTTTGTATGATTTATCATTTATATGATCGTGTTTTAGTTCAAAAAGACTCACACATTATCCAAATCATCAGCCTAATATTCTTCATGCTGTATTTGCATTGCTTTTATATATACATTTTATGTTCAGAAGCTAATATATATATATATTTCAAAAACTCATTAATAATTCATTAAGCAATTATCCAATCTTGAGTAAGAAATTAGTCACGTGCATACATCTTTATACCAGCTAAAGCCTGGTTCACATTGATCGTAAACATCGGCGATGCCCATTGTCGGTGGTCATTGATGCATAAAATGTTTTGTGCATTTTCTTCTTCGTTGCTCACAGACAATGGATCGTAGAACATCGCCGATCAATGTGAACCAGGCTTAAAGAACACTTTAACAAAAGACCATTGTTATGCAAACTATATAAAGATTTTTATACGCAGGTTGTGTTTTATTAGGTCTAAATTTATATATGCAGGTCGTGTTTTATTAGGTCATTTTTTACTCGCAGGTCGTGTTTTATTAGGTCTAAAGCCACTCGCGCTGCGCGCTCGTGGCTTTAAACCTAATAAAACACTCCTGCTCGTTTTTTAAATAGTACCTTAAAATATACTCATTAAAAATTCATAAACCTTGTGGCAAATCTTGTCAGCCATAACATGTCACGTCCCGTCACTTTATATCTGATAAAACTCATCCTCATTAGTATTCTTTATATAATTGTTCATCCTAATTTGTATGATTATATAATTGTTCATCCTATAATTAGTATTCTTTTGTAGTCGCATTTTAAGCTATTCAAAACACTCGAACTCGCGTTTTATCATATCTAAAACGTATATATATATATATATATATCATATATATATATATATATATATATATATAACTACAGACGGTACCGTTTCGGCCTAATGGGCCTCATCAGTGTAGTGCTGATGAGCAGGATGAAAGTAACTCTTATTTATAGTTACCTTTGATGCCTCACGATTGTGGGACATCAAACCATGCCAAAGCGCTCAAACTGCAAGCAGTGAGCGTGCGCAATGCGTAAGCGGCATGGCTCATCCTGTAGAGCGCTCAATATGACCTAAAGGCCATAGAGCGATATCTAACTACAGACGGTACCGTTTCGGCCTAATGGGCCTCATCAGTGTAGTGCTGATGAGCAGGATGAAAGTAACTCTTATTTATAGTTACCTTTGATATATATATATATATATATATGAAAACGTTTTGGTTGCCATGCCTGGATATATGTGCTGGGTGTTGGTAATGATTTCTTCAGGCAAAAGTAAGCTTAAAAAAACTTTAATAAGTTTGTAAGACGTTTCGCCGATTAGGGCTTCATCAGTGACACAATCCCTAATCGGCGAAACGTCTGACAAACTTATTAAAGTTTTTTTAAGCTTACTTTTGCCTGAAGAAATCATTACCAACACCCAGCATACAGGGGCGGATCCAGCGTTTTGGATGACAGGTTTACTCGGTCCACACAACCACTATGGGGGTCAGGGGGCATGCACCCCCGGGAAATTTTTAAAATTCGGGCCTCTGAAACAGCATTTCCTGCGTTCTGGCGTCACCTTTTAAATTAATTTAATGGTTAGAAAATACATGTTTTTAAGAGAATTTTGGACTAATATACTCAGCTCAAACAATAAATTGAACCTTTTCGGAAACTTATTAGCTGGTGATAAAAATATAGGATTGGCAAATTGCTGACGCATCGATATTTATTATAAGTACAACCAGTAGAGATGCTTTTAATATAAACATAGTTGTCATTTTAGATCTATAACGCTTTCAAACCAAGCGCTTTAACAATGAAGTAGAAACCAAACTGCAAAAGCGTGAAAGCATTACAATTATTTCCTGATTCTCTATCGCAAAGATTCGGTCACGCAATATTATAAGAATTATACACATATTTCGCGCTATCATGAGTGTAGACTGTGTAGAAGTTACACGTATAAACGTCGATACGTTTGTTGACGGATCGATATTTATTATACAGTAAGTAGAAATAGCTTGCAGTTATAACTTTAGACTATATACTCTTAAACAAACCTTCAAAATGAACAACAAAATCCATGTAAATGCTTCTATCGCCAACGCAATTTTCAGTCACGCAAAATTATAAACATATTTCGCGCGTCCTCGAGTTCTGTTAACTTTCATTCCCAGTTTTCGCTAAATACTGCTCGACTCACAGGTTTATGACCGGTTTACATCCGTCGGAATAGCCTACGAACAGGCTCTCAAGCTGAATTGAGAGCCTGCATCGATCATTAATGAATTTGAATATCTGCCCCGTAACGTTCGTTTTTCCAAATATGGAATGTCTATCCTTATATGGTGTTGTTTACAACTTTCGTGCAAACTAAATTTAGACCGTGTAAACTAAATTTAGACCGTACAGTTTATACTGTTTTTCGAAATATAAGATATTCAAGCAAAAGTTCGAATGTTTTAAATACTGTTTTCTCAAAACAGAACATTTCGTGCTTTGAGATAAGACGGCCAAGACCAATTTGATCAGTTAATGTGTTTTTTTTATGCATAGTGCTTCAGCAGTTGACATATATGGAGCTCAGCGGAAACATATAAATTATAGCATCTGACCAATGAGAATTTCGCGTCACGATTTGAGACGCAGATATTCAAATTCATTAGTCATCGATGCAGGCTCTCAATTCAGCTTGAGAGCCTGTTCGCAGGCTACCGTCGGAGCGCAGCCGTTTAGCCAATCGAATGGCGTATATCGACCGGTTTACTCTCATTGAGAAAACTCTGACCACCGGTTTACTCATAATTGCGGGCGGTTATGTGTGATTCATGTGATGTTTCAGTCCACGACCCACGATACATTAGCAGATTATTTGTCTAGTATTACAACATTTCGTAAGAGGAAACCAACGCGATAAGTCCTTAATTAAATCTAAATACGCTCGGTATTAATCCAGAATAAAAATTTCAATAAGAGTATTTAAATGGCGTTATAGATTAGACAACATCAAGTTTATGAAACAGAATATTCTTTAAATTAGTTATATATGTACATGGAAGGTTATAGATTTTCTTTCTTTGGAAAATCTGACAGGTTTATTATATAAACCTGTCAAACCTGTCTGAATCCGCCCCTGGCATATATATATATATATATATATATATATATATATATATATATATATATATATATATATATATATATATATATATATATATATATATATATACAGTATACAGGGTGTATCAAAATAAACGCAATTCATCTTTTGGGCTTAATAACTTTCGAAATACTATTTCTAGTTAAACGCTTTTAGGCTTACTTCAAAGCCTGTTCTTTTCTCTTTCAAACAAACTATTATCCTTGTCTCCAATGCTAGTAATAATTGCACAGGAAAAGATTTAGTAAAACCGATCATTTTTAGTTGCTGTTTAATTATGCAAGTTTACTATGTTATTGTTTAGTCGGTTTAAATGTTAGAATTTTCTTCTTTAAACTTTAGTGTTGTCGTCACTACATCTGGAAAACCACGTAAGAACAAATTAAAAGTATTTTAAAAGAGACTAGGTTGTTTGAAAATCCTAAACGAATGCTAAAAATCGTAGAATCAAAACATTCTGGTGTCTGAGCCAGAGTGTCATCGAATTGCGATGTAATGTAAACAGAAATTATAGCAAGCTGATGTCAGTCAGCTTAGATGGTCCAAGCCAAAATTATATCGCATTTGAAGCTTCAAACTGTGTTAAAAATAGTGGAAGAAAAGCCGTAATTATACTTATTGTTACAATCCATTTATTAAAATGCAACATTTTTTTGTTTTAATGAAAAAATCAGTTATTTTCATGAGAACGATTTGTTATTCCATCTCAATTTTTTTAATCTTCAATCGCAATAACGTAAAGTATTATTACCCGCGAACCAATGAGTCAAATTTAAGAAACAACCTACTGTTAGAAAGCTGAATGGCTACGCTTTAAAATGAATGTAAACTTTAACGTTTTCGTCTATTATTTCTTTAGCAATTTACATTTCAGTCGAGGATTGCGCTTTTTTTGATACACCCTGTATATATATATATATATATATATATATATATATATATATATATATATATATATATATATATATATATATATATATAGATGACAAAATACAATATTCGTATCAGCCAGTTCGACATTTATATACAACAGAATAGCTGGCTACGATCCGAGAGAAACCAATACTAAAAATGTACTAAAGTAATAAAGTTTTAATTTTCGACTGAATGTCTCAGCCTTCCTCAGAAATAATATTACTAATAATTTCTGACGTATATATATACACCAATAATATGCAAATATTACAATAATGATAACTAATTAAGCTTAGTGATAGACAAAGAAGTCACTGTTGCACAAAATCATGACTATCATTTAACCCTCCCCGATTAGTCAAAAGGGTCCCAATCCAGAAGTTTTCACATTCCAACAGATTACCACAACGCTGATCAATCAGCATAAATTTCAAATATGAATGATCAGCCCCGTGGCAATCCAGGAAGTGATTAACAATACTACAAGTTCTGTGCCCACGCTTAATGTGTGACTTGTAGTTTGCAAGGCGGGCCTTAAAATTAACAGTAGAACCAACACCCTGCAAACCACAAGCCAAACATTCGGCAAGATATACCACTGCCTTGGACGTGTAAGCGATTTACAGATTTTAAAAACTTTCTTGGTAATAACGGAACGAAAAGTGTGCCCTTCTAACAAAAAATTCTTACAGCAGTCACAACGCTTTGCTGTACAATTAAAACAACCGAATTGTTCTACTTCAGTATTTTCCTTGCCATATGGGTTGGAGGGAGCCAATAACTCCTTTAGATTGGCGTTGCGCTTAAAAGACACACGAATAACCTTCTCGGGTAGAATATCTCTGGCCTTCTCATCACCACAGATAATGGACTTGTGATGTTTATTTATGATTTTTCGTATGTCTGGTCCACGCGGATTATACTTAGTAACTAAACAACAATATCCTTCATTGGACTTATTCTTACTTTTGCGTGCATCTTCCCTAGAAATTTTACCTACTTCCCTAAATTTAT